CCTCCCTCCCTCACTCCCCTCTCAGCCCAGTCTGCTGGATTGGTCCCATTTTAAACACTGACGCTGCCTTGGCCAGGTTTAACCTCTGCTGTTCCACCACAACAGACCAAACCACAAACACAGAATACTTCACTGCCTCCGTCACCTGCACACGCTGACCTTTCCCAAGAGCGAATTAGATGAAGGATTGATTTACTTTTAATTTCAAGAATTACTTACAATTAGATACAACAGATTACTCATATAAACGCAGATAAATGGTATTGAAGGTAGAGTCCAAAAATGCTCCTTCATGCTCAATTTGTCTCATTTTTCCTCCTCCCTTTCACATGAGACAAATTACTTATGTCAGGTAAAAACATCTCAGTTCTAGTTTTGGTGATTTTCATGCTTTTTACACAAATTAAAGGTCCTCAGTGGGATTTTACAACACATGTGCACATAAAACTTTCAAAAATAAGTGAATGATTTCACTCTTGCATGTTAAGGTTTCAAAACTAAGCCTGTGTTTTTTATTAATATCTGTAAATTGACATTTTGGACAAGCAGCAACACAAGTGAAATGCTGCAAATATTCCGGTTCAACCTGGACACAGTTTACGCAGTGCAAATGGTGAACCGTTTCCAGAGTTTTTATCAGCTAATTCCATGAGGGACAGATGGATGGTGGTGAATAAGAGAAAAAGCCTCATCTGGCTTCACTTAACTTTACGACTGTAGTGATTTAATATAACGTTTGTCAGTTCTCACCTGTGCTTGTCAGGGGCAGCCGTCCTCCGACGCACAGTTTTGTAGACAGATGACTTCCTCCCTGGCTACTGAGGAGCACCTCCAACACACTCAGACATGTATATTCACAAACACACACATATGGGGCTAATATGGCCACAGGCTGAACTCAACATGCTCGTCGCTCCTGGCCTTCGCTCTCTCTCTCTCTCTCTCCTCAGACAGCAGGAAGCTCTGCTGGGGAAATAAACTATCTAGACAATCCCGAGTTCAATTTATTCACATCAGCTGAGTGATTCACTGTGCAAACAACCACGGATCTCTTTAACCTCACTTCATGGTCTCTTTGTGGCTCCCTCATTTGGGATTACAACCAGATTTTCTGATTTTATCCACCGCCCAGAAAAACACACACAACTTCAGGCTATGGATTCAAAGGGAGGAAGATTAAGCGAAAACAAGAATATGACAAAGATATAAAAGCAAACAACAACAAAAAGCAATAAATAGACTAGATAAATGTTTCTGCATCTTAAATCACAAAAATAGTTAATTTAGCATTCATACCTGTGCCCTTGCAGTTCCTGTAATGCACCAACTAATGAATTCATTCTTCTATAAAGGAGTACAAGCTCAGTTTTTCAAATTTTACTGACCTTATGTATGAAAGTTACCAGCAAAAATTACCTATTTTTATTGAAATTTGCAACCAGCTTTTTGTTTATGTTTAAGATAAGTTTAAATAACACTTTATTCATTCCCAAGGGACAAATTAAATGTTACAGCAGCACCAGAAGCTAAAAGATAAAGATACAAAAAGTGTAAACAGCATAAGCATAAAATAAACAAACTCGAACTGGATAAGATTAAATTAAAGATAACTGCAGATACAAAATAAGTCAAGGAACGTATACAGTAAAGAAATCTTGATACAATACAATAAGCTAGGTATCAGCTCTTTGTTTATACAGACTATATGAATGCACAACTTCATTTCACTCATGTTGCGGGATTTTCTTCGCTGCAGAATTCACTCCTCGTTGAGATCCCTCCCTATCGCAACCAAAGGCTCTCCACTCCGGTCCACGTGAACTTCTACGTCTGCAACGGCAAGAGGAAAAGAAGCCAGTACCAGCGCTTCACCTACGTCCCCGCCAGTGGTAAAGCTCCTCCTCCTCATGCACATTTACTACTTCTTAACTAACAGTGAGTGAGCAGGTAACTGACAGATTATGGTCAATACAATACTGTAACTGCCAGCCAATCACTGCAGTTGATTAATGATATACAACCTCACCAGAGTGCTTCACAGACATTACATTTTCACACACATTAAATTTTCATACAAATGTACCACCAAAATAAGGAAAAAACCAACTTATTACCTCTAAGCACATCCTTGCTTATTCTGCCTTTCTTTTACTCTCCTGTCATCACCGCAGCACTTCACCGCTCTCGGTTTTGCTCTCTGCCTTTCATATCCCAGACTAATTAGAAACATTTTTGCCAGCATTTTACATCTGAAGACGAGAACAAACAGTTTGTTTTCCCCCTTGTCTGGTGGTTTTGCTTGGGAGGAACAAAGCAACGCTATTATTCCTTCATTGTAAAAAGAGAAAAAAATCTATAAAATCTGTTCTTTTCCATACCTGTAGCTGCATGAATGCTGCAGTGACTGGACACACAAGGGTGGGGAAGGGGCATGGGAAAAGCATGTTATTTGAATAGAGAACCTATTGCCAAGCTAAATATAAACACTGACCCACCAACTGAAATGTAAAAACCGCTGCTAATTGCACTCCGGGCTTGGAGTGAAAATCCAGTGGGTGGTTCAAAGCTGCGATTCAAGCGAACTGGCCCAGCCCTGTACGTGGGCGACGGAGTGCCCCACTGTGAAAGTGGAGCATTGTCCTCGGGATGCAGAGAGCGTAAGGGAGGGAGAGAGACCGGGGGACAGCTAGTCTGGTCAGTGTCTCCTAAAGGGCGAAAGTCTGCGTGAACAATATAATCTGCCAGTCTGCAAGAACCAGGAGAAAGTCAAGAAAAGTTTCAAACAAATGGGCCGAGTGGAGAAACAAATGAAGGACTAAATTGTTCAATAATGAGATATATAAATGTCAGTTTTTCCTGTATTTTAAATCACGTCACTTTAATTCTTTTTGCAGCAGCAGGTGTTGCAACAGCTCGTACAAAAACAACAGATTTATTTTGGGACCTGCATTACACGTGGCTGATTTTCACACTCCGGAAACCCGGGGGCACACTCTCTTTTGTGGCAGCACAAACATTTGCACTTCTTCTCCTTTCTGTGCATCTGCCTATCCGCCACAGGCAGACAGACACACTTCCTCCAAACGGGCCCAAAATAGGGGTGCATGTGCTATTTTGGTGCTGTGGTTGGTGTAACCATCTCATTGCAGTTCCTCTTTTACAGTTGTTGACAGTGGAGGCTTCAGTAAGGCATGATGCGTCCTAGTTTCACTCTTTTTTTGTCAATTTAGCTCCTAATTCAGCCCGGTACAGATTAAAAATAACTTTTTAAAGAGGTTTCCCTAAGAAAGGGGAATCATGAAAAAGTAAATTAACAACGTGTATCAGTAAAATATGAGAATAAGAATTGCAGAAAGTAGAATAAGGTCAAGCGATTCACTGTGTCAGCTTCGATTTCAAGCACATGCTTCATATTATAATCTAAAACAGCTTCAGTGCAAAGAAAAGAAAGAGTGGATCCAGTTTAGTGATGCAGTGATGAAGCTCGGGGTCAGAGCCATGCTGTCGTTTGCTTGTAACTGGACTGAAACGCTTGTTATATAAGATGGATGTCGTGTCAGAAGCTGCGGCAGATTGACAGCCCACATATTTAAAACTTGGTGTCAGACATGTTTTACACTGGAATCTGGACGGGTGGCCAGGATGCTGGCGACTGAGAACAAGCCCTGCCTCATTTGAACTCTCGCTCATACGATAACCACAATCCTCAAACACCCCGAAAGCCTCCATTTTGTCTTTTTCTGCTACATCTTGTGTTAAAAAGCAGCTTTCACGTTCAGTTAAGCTTCTCCTATTTGACTCAATGAGCGTGCAGTAATTTATTTAAAATTGCTGAACCCTGCTGAGCATGAAGCTGCTGTTACAGAAACATATTTCATATCGCACATTTAGTGGGTATTAGCACCAGAGCAGGATCCAAAGAAAATAGCCATTTTATTATAGAAGCAGCTGGATGTTTCTCGTGTTGATGAGTCATCCACTTTTTTTTTTTCCTGCTTTTTTCTACTTTTTGTGAATATTTTCAGCAGGGTGGGAGAGCTCAGGCCCAGACACAGAGTCTCATTGATGAGAGTGTTTGTTTGGCAGCGGGTATCCTAGCCACAAACCCACTCACTCACTCACACTTGCAGGAAGGTTGGAATATTTACTCATTTAGCTTTCCCTTTTTCTGTTCTCCCTACTCCTCTCTCAGTTCCAACAATAAAGACGGAGCCACACGACGACTACGACGCCCCTCTGGTGTGCAGCCAGCCCGGTCCCGGCCTGTCCTTGCACCCAAAGCAATACTTCCCCCCTCAAGTCATGACCCCGATGATGACCCCCGACCTCAGGCCGTGTGTGGTGGGCGGGGCTTACTCTGTCAGCCAGCCAAGATTGGCAACCAAGCCCTCCTCGCTGCCCTCCCCGTCCTCTCCGAGCACCAGCCCCAAACTGCACGACCTGTCGCAATCGCCCTTCCCAAAGTGCCTCCCTGCCGGCCCAGCAGTCCAACACCCGGGCCAACAGTCCCCGATCCCGCACGTCTCCATCATCCAGGAGACACCCGGGCGCTACCAGCCGCCCAACCTCTACCCTCCCAGCAGCTGCTCCTCCTCTCCGACCTCGCAGCCCTCCACCCCGACTGACGCCCCTTTCTCTCCCACCCACTGCATGACACCAGGCAGCACCAGCCCAGGAGCTCAGCAGCACCCCAAAGTGCCAGAGAGGGGGCGGGCCTCGCTTCAGGAGGACGGCAGCCCCCCGACGCTCGCTGTCAGCATCAAACAAGAACCACAGGAGCTGGACCAGATGTACCTTGATGATGGTGAGTTTTTATTATTATACAAAATGATGCTTTTATAACTCTCTAATCCAGAGTATGGAAACAATGAAAATGTGAACACCCTGTCCAAACTCCTAATTAACTAAACAAAAAGGTTTTATATCTGCAGCTGCTGATATTTGATCAGTATCATATGACTCACCGATCACTTTTCCAGGAGCTGAAGCTTTTGGCCTCCAAAAGTCAGTCTGGAGCTTTTGTTTTGGAGCAAATCTCCTCAACCTTGTGTCATTTTGGGGAAAATGTAGTTTTCTTGTCAAGAATTAGATGAGAATACTAAGACCACTCTCATGTCTGTCTGTTAAGCATGAAGCTACCGTGTACCTGTAGTTAGCTTAGCTTAGTATAAAGACTGGAAATGGGGAAACAGTGAGCCTCGCTCTGTCTGAAGGTCAAAATCCTCCTACTAGCACCTTTAAAGTAACCTTTCCGAGGCAGCTGGACTTGAAGAATCCATCTTGCCAGACTTCAATTTTGCGTTAAAGGCACGGATGTATTAAGACGAACTGGATACGGCGTCGGCTCCGTTCATTCCTATGGAAGCTGCTCAGTGGCACATGAAACCAAAACTGTTTGAAATTGCAAATTACCCATCCACATGCTTCCACATTGTTTGGCTCATAGAGCAAACGAACAAGAGACTTGCGCTGGTCGAGACGCTTACTTTATCTATTTACTCTATTTAATAATGCAGCTCTTGTAGACTTTCCAAATGGAAACTGAATGGATTAAATTCAGATAGTGAAACGAGTCATTTTGTGAGGGCGTTGATGCTAAAAAACTATTATCCACCATTTTACAGTGGTTTGGCCACTATGTCGAACTGGCTCCAGAGTCCAGCGCTCTTCCTGTGGGTTTGGTTTGTAGCCAGACTACAGTGGTACCGGACCAGTCAGCATCCTTTGGAGGAGCTACTGGCAGGTGTGGTGGTGTGGCGCTGCCGAGAAGACAGCGCGGTCTCCTGTAGAGATTAGCATATAGATGCTGCTACCATCAGTTATATTCATTATACAGAGTGTTTTTTCATTAAAAGAAGAGCAAAAAATGCCACTGAAGGCTTTTTTCAAAAAAAGGTGTTGGTTGAAATTTGCCTGTTATAGATGATGATAGGCAGACATTTCATCTAATCACCTGCCAAGTATCTTTTTAAGGTTCCTGACCTCTTCAAAAAACTGTTTCCAGGAACAAATTCCCACTTAGTTCTGTGTAGCAAACCATCTGGCTCACTGAAAGCTCACTAATTAACATGTTATTATCTTGTTCCACACAAATTTTAAGCGTTAAAACGACACATGCTTTCATGGGGGGGATGTGTGCCAGACTATTTCTATAAAATCTCCATAAGAAAGTATATTTTCAAAAATGTTATGTCAAGTAATTTTTCAATGCAGGACAAACAAACATTGCCAGTTCGCTTGAAACACATTTGACCTATAAAGGCTGAAGAAAAGTTGTTTTGAGGGATGAAAAATCTAATCACACTAACTTATTGTAACTGAATTCAGCAGGGAGATAGACATGCTGACGTGTCTTTCTTGTGAAACTATGATATCACTGTTTATGTCAGTTAGAGTATTTTGGTGTGGGAGTGATGACTGTGCCAAAAGGTTTACCACTGCTGTTGCATGTCTTTAGACTTTTGAACAGAGGCTGTCAAAAGCATTTCTCAATATCTCTTTTCAAATTCTGCTTTCCATTGCTCTCAGCTTTCTTCTAACTTCTGAGGTAATTAGATCAAAGAAACCCGGTGGTCTAGTATTTGATATATATGGCTTTAAACCCTGAATGTTACAAGCCTGCCAAAAACTCGCTGACATAATAAATACAGTTTTTTTGTGACCCCCTTTATTTATCTCAGAGAGAGCAGGGTTTTAGGAGCATAAACTTTATGATCTCACTGCTCTGGCCCTCTGCGCTCACCGCTGAGGTTCGGGGGCCGTGCCCTCTGCGCTGCAGTGATTTGAAATAAATTGGATAAATGATCTTCCTCGAGGCAAGACGAAACAGTCCCTGGCTGTGTGCACGAGTCCTGTGGAGGAAAAGAAGTGCAGTAGATGAAGAAACACTAACCAGCAGCTATCAGCGGACAGAGAAGCGGGGCTTTGATCTGACACCAGAGCCCCTGCTGAATCGTCTGGCCGAGCTTCCTGGCGATGGCGAGTGAGACACTGTTGTCGGGCCGCAGACTGTAGGACTCAGACTGTTCCCGTGCCACTTCCTCTGAACAGTCTGGGTAAATACATTAACACTTGTTAGCACTGTCTGCGGGGATATTTGGCAGGCTAGAGCAAAAAAGAAAGATTTGATTTTGTAATTATGCTCTCGCTGGTGCCGCAACTGCTCGTGTCTCTTGAGGATTTCTTTGTTTGAAACCAGGTGTAGTTAAAGTTAAATCTAAGTCTGTAAGTACGCCACCATAACCATAATGGATATGGAGGAGCTGGGCCTCCAATTACACTTGTTTTCACTGGCAAATTGAAGGAAATTTTACTAAGCATTCCAAACTTAATGTGGCTTCTCACTTCATTAAAACCTCTGGCAGAGTTTGATACGACTTTTTGCTTTATGGCCTCACTCAGGTGTGATGTTACTGTAATTTTAATGTCGGCCATGCTCGTTAAAACTCAAGCCTGCGATATCTGAGGCTTTTAGAGGAGCTGAGACACTGACTGTCATTAGAAGTATTCAATGAAAAATGGGAATTCTGTGTGTGTTTTTGGGCTGTAATTGAGTATATAATGATCTGTACGTTGTTGCCAGCAGTCAAGGTTACTCACTGGCATTTATTTATTTAATGTAGCACAATTAAATTTAATTTCAGAACAATTTGACCTAAATGATTTAAGTGAATAATTTAACGCATGAATATTTAACCACTTATCCTGTCAAGTAACTGCAGTTATAAAGTAATGTCACACAGTCAGGTGTTTCGAATCTCCCACCCGGACTTTGCTATTGCCCTCTTATCTTGAATCAGACCTGATATCTTTTCTCGGTTTGTTCAGCCCTCTCATATTCATCAGGATCCTTCTCTGTGACACATTTTTTCACACCGTCACAAACATGTCCACAGAAAATCTGAATCTAGTTGTCTGCCGCCCCCAGCAGCAGGGTGCACTTTCAGAGCTCCACCCACTGCTGAGGCTGAGGGAGATGGAGGCCGGCCACGCCGCCATAAAACTTGCTGACTGGAGAGGTTTGCATGCTTCCCTTTGGCTCAGAGAGAGTCTGGAAGAGGCGGCCAAAGCCATACGTTATACTGCACAGTAGTGTGCCGAGGACTTTTGTCAGCGGTGAGGTAACATGAGCAAAACATGTGCATTTTGAAGTCAAATCTGAGCCAAAAGGCATTACGAAATGTTTTTTTATGGCGTGTTGTGGCCTTGTTAGATGTCAGAACAGCACAATTGATGACCAGAGACTTTAGATGATCATAGGAAAAGTATTTGAGAGTGAACTTGTGACTAAAATTCGACTGTATCTGTCTGATTATATGCACTAAAACTCACTTCGCTTCTTCAAACTATTTGCAGCCACAGCTTCCAAAAAGAAGTAATGTTCACCGTTAGTTTGTGAGATCAGAGCATAAAGGATTTTCACCCTGACTTTACACATTGCCACAATGAATTATCAGCTGTTCTTTTTATTAGTTTGTACTTAGCGTGGTACCTCATCATTGGTTTATCGCATATTCTTCAGCATCCAACATCTGTTATGTATTACTTGTTGCCAGTTACAGTTATTGATGCATTTCTTAATACAATCAGTGGCCAGAAAAGAAAGAAAAAAAACACCAGTATGATGTAATGCAGTGTAACAGCCCTGCAATTAAAAATGACCTCACTTTAAAAGTTTAGCTTTTGTAGAGACTACTTTCCTTTTACTCTCCTGCTTTAGGTATTTGTGTGTTGACTGCATGGTGGTGTTGGTGGTGGACTGAATTAAAACTTTTCCACCTGATTTGAATATATGGAGGATCAGAAACACAGTTTAATACAATCTGATACAACAACAACAAACACCACAGCCTCGATGATGACTATAGAGTTTCCTTTTATAGATTTTATTTGTTAGATTTTACTTAAACAATTCAGACAATCACTGTTACACTGATCCATATTGAACCGTCATGTTTTTACAGTAGCCTAAACGGCCTTCAAAGCCATCGTAGTTTCTCCGTCCTTCCTTAAAAATTCAGAATAAAACAACAAAACAAATATAAAACGACAGATAAATCATGTTTATACAAGTGCGGTTTGTGTATTTATTTATTGTTCAGGACTCTGTGTATGTACGTCGACAACAAAAACAGATTGTTTTGCTGTGCTGAGCCTTTTTCTTCTGGTTACTCAGTGTTTAAAGAACGTTGTGGTAATATTTTGCTGACGTCTTTCTCCCTTTCTATTATTCTATTTTCTTGAGGCCTACAACATGCTATCGTCCAGAAACTGTATTTTTAAATAATACCTGGGTTAAAACAAAAAATTGGCAGAATCTGTGGTGAACTACAGAACCGCTCTGTGGGACTGACTTGCAGTAACCCAGTAGGAGCCTCTTTATGTGGGCCAAGAACATCTCGTGGCTTGTGGCCTGGACTTGACGTGGCAGTAAACGTGGTGGCGGTGGTGGTGGGGGGTGTTTGTGGTGTTCTCTGCCCCCCAGCCTTTTTTCTCTCATTGTCCCACTGGTCCCTCAGCTGATTTATTCCCAGTGTTCAGAGGGAGTGCTGAATATCTCGCCGGCTGATCGGTTCCTCTGTAGTATTGTGTTATTACAGGCCCGGATCATGTTGACGCGTTTCAGACCCTTAATGAGGCAAACAGCGCTGTCCTGCTAATTGTTTGGGAGTTCCTCGTTTGTCGGGGGTTTCCTGGTTGGAGAGCCGGGCTGTATCAGTCAGCTCCAGCTGCTGTGGACCTCCATGGGACAGGAAACCAGTTCCTGGATTATTTCATATCAAACCCCACCTTCCTCATTCTTGA